ACAGAAGGCGAAAACCCCAAGAAGCACGCTATGATAAAAAATATCTTCTTCGGGTGCCATGAAACTTTCAATTGCAGCTGGCATGCACCCATGGCACCAAAGGCACCCATGCAGAGGCTGGGTGCCTTTTGACTCATCCACTGCTCATCCATGTCACAAGAAAAGGATAGCGACAATTACGGAAAACACCAGAGTCTTGAAGTCCAATTCCAGAAGAATTTCCCAAAGTACTCCCACATCACGCGGTCAATGCTCTATTCACGGTGAGCATAAGTAGACGAAGTCGAAGTACGAGCGTCCACCTAAGCACAGGTCCGTGGACTGCGCACAATGCATGCGCGATCGTCCTTTCACTTGTCATGGCGAGAAGGCGTGATCTGGCCCCTTGCACCTTTCCCCACTGCACCAGTCCGCTCTGAACGCATATTTCAGGTGAACTTACTCAAGTGGTGTGGTGACGCCGTGACCTTGTTGACGCGCGGCCCATTTGTACTGCAAAACATGCAGCATCCTCACCTTTTTGTGTAATATTTTTGCGACTGTGTAATATGACAACATTTTGCATATTTAACATTTCTTTTTCGGAAACCAGCCAAAAATGTGTCGGAATTGGTCGCATGTCCTTGAAATCGTAAGTCGATACACGATTACAAGGCAGATTTAATGGAGACCGACTGTTCATCTACATTTGCCTGATTGTCTATGTTTGTGCACACTTGTGTACATTGGATACTTCCACGCTTATGGTAGGTCATTGGCACAGCAGCATAATCCATTGATTTGGAGTATTTTATCGGTGGTAAAGACCTGTGTTCGAGTTGATGGTCATATCACATCGACATGAAAATGAAATGTATGAAGTAGGAGCTTTATTCAACTACAAATTATTCAGCAAGTCTACCATTGCTCTGCCCATAAAAGCGTCAGTTATTGGCCACACACGTTTGCAACATCTTCCATCTCATATGTTTGTCCCTGGTCCGTAAGCCAGCGACGTTGGCTGAGGGAACACCTGTGATCGTACAGCCCCGACGCCGTTCACCAATGCGTCCGACAAAGCCTACTTTTGAAATGATGGAAATGGTTTACAGACACCTGTGCCCCGGAAAAATGCGTTCGACAAAAAGTTAGCAAATTGTGTTGTCTGGGCTTAGAGCCGAAAGCAGGCCGGTTGCTGGAGAAGGTATGACAGTCATTTGTTATTAAAATGAATGCATACGTGGTACATTCTGACGCCTTTCAACAATCCTTTAATTTTATAGGACAAAACACGAATCGGACATGTTTGTAGCGCTGAAATGAGTAGCGTGCCTTGGAAAAGAATGTAAAATTTAATTCGCACCTTATTCATTGTAGCAAAAATTCACGACACATCTACGGCAACTTGCTAATATGTTGAATTGAATTGAACAAAAGAGCAGCGAGATTAATGAGAGAAAGGAATTGTCTGCACATGGTAGGACGGTTGCCGTTTATGGGCATTGCTAATTAACTTGGTTGAAGATGTTGTCACATGGCGTCAGCCAAAACTAAAAACCGTGTTATGTTATGTCATTCTAACTCAAATATAATGAACCCCTAGCGCCTAGAACCCACTGCACATCGCGAAACCAGACAGTCCTACTCAGAACGAGATGCATAGGCACAGGATTTATCGGGGCTAACTGCGTAGAAAGCTGCAGCCTTCCTCGACTGCTATGCAACCATTTTCGACCAGTGTTTGCATTTAACACAGCAAGAACTGCATGAGGCTTTGGTTTTAACACAGGTCATTTGGCACGGTTCACGATAGGCGAAGTACGAACGATGGCAGCACTAAAGCCTAAGGTTTAGCGCGGATCACGCTGCTGAGGTTGTCTCGAATTTCAGAGCTCAGCTGCCAGATTTTCTTGGAACCTTTTGACCCATCCCGTGCGACTTCCGGAGCCACCATGAATCCGATGGCCTGAGAGCACCATGGCGACCTCCTCTTAGAGTTTGACATGGGATGACATTGCAGCTGTATCTGATCTCAGAAACTACAGATCTTATTGCCGACAGGGCCGTTACCCTTAGACTCGGAGCACGCATTTGATCCGTCCTTGTGAATACGATGGCCTCGCATCATCATGGCTACTTCCACTCCAAAGTGCATCCATCGGGCGGCATCGCAGCTTTCTCATGAACCACTGGTGCGTTGTCAATATTTGTTTCCTCCAAATTCGTCCTTGCAGGAAGCAATTTTATCAGCCGGTGGGTGTGAGTCTGGTGGTCTCAAATTGGTACGGTATTTTTTCGTCCAGGAGTACCCATGGGATGTCGCTGCTACCGCCTCCGATCTCAGAAAGTAACGATCCCGGTTAAAAAATCCTCACTCGACGCACAGAATGTACTTCTTTCGGCGTGCGTATAAGCGCATTCCACAAGTAAGTTCATTTGAGCTGTTGTGAAATGACTATGCAATGTAGCACGCGCTAATTCTGGCTTGAGAAGAAAATCGCTATCTGGAAGGCTTATTTTGCATACTGCCCGGAAATACGTTTTCGTTTTGACGCCGGTTTGCAAATGGCGAGTGCCACAAGGGTGCAATAGCATTCGATCACCAAATTCATGACACTGCAGAAGAAAGCTCACGAGATCACAACGAGCTTTACAAAGTTGAAGGTGACAGCATCGGCTCCGAATTGAAGCTGCATAGGTGGGTGCGGAATTTCAAGGAGGGCAGAGAGAGCGTGCTTTGTTCGTAGCTAGCATATTTTTTTTCGTACATGCATTTCCTAGCAACCGCTGTCAGCGATGTTAGAAGTAGTGCTGACCGAAATCGTCCAACTATCGATGTTCTGGCATAAATGTTTTGTGCTACGAAATATAAGGAGCGACAAGAAATAGATTAATAATAACGTTTTGTATGTACATGATATCTTCGGGTGGCTCTACAATTAACTTTCAGGAGCAAAGAGCACTATTGCGTTGGAGCAGAAAAGTTTAGATCACTAAAACAACGTTGTCGAACATATATTAGATGATTGTGATGAAAAGGCAGCGAAACGTTCCCAAAGACTTTGGGTTTGCTTCTCTCTTTTGTTTCTAAGCATTCTTTGTAAGAAGTTTGTGCGTGTCACAGTGTCACACAGAGCCGTCCCATGTTCATAAGATCGCTACGTGGTCAAGGGTCTAACCATAGTATTTCGTTGAGGGTATTGACTTCTCGTGCCCTATGAAAGCGCAGCTGAGCACACTAGCGTACACTCCGCCCCCTCCTCCTTCTCCCATTGTCATCTTACTCTCCCATAATGATATGAATCCCTACAATATACGCGAGATAATAATGAAAATCCCGTGAAAATCCCGGAATGTAAGCTTCCTTGAAGAACCTTGAAAAACGCAATGTTTTACTCCCAATTTCTTATTCCCTTTTGCGACACAGTCCTTAGATACCAAAGGAAAACATGAAAGCATAGAAGCCTTAATGTGCTTTGACATGGCAAAGCAACGAGGCCCACTGAAAGGCAAAATGTGCATTTTAACTCGGACTCAGACTCGATTACATTCATTTAGCACATTTAGACTTCATGTTAACGGCACCCCAGGCTGATTAACCCTGTACTCACTCCCAGGGGTATCAATTTTTTAAAAACTATTGGAGGGGGCCGAACCGAATTCCCGACAACCTACACCCCAAATGTTTTCCCCACCGGATTTAGCCCACTTTACTTTGACTACAAGATATATTTTTAATATTTGCCTAACTTATAAGTCTTTAATTCAAGCAGCATTGAAGTCATGCAGGGTTAGATCCAGGGAGCAGGCACTGGACTCATGCATTTTTTTCCGATTGGCGCGCGAAGGTGCCCCTTTAGAGGCCACCTTAGGGCGCCGATGGCGCTCTTCTATGACGGTCACGGGAGACGGCACGAATTTTGGTTGTGGGGAACGGGGACGGGGTTAGCCATGAAGGACTAAGGTTGTCCCCTTATTTCAGAGTTTTTCACTTAAACCTCACAAACCATTGCGTGTCTTACGGCGCTAGGTATGCGGAGTTTATTGCATCGTTTGTCTGCTCAGCTGTTACCATTTTTATCTCGTGCTTAGAGCAACCATGCCTTTTTGTTGTGAGAAAATGGTACCAGACGCCACTTCTCAAAAGCAGCAAAGAAGATAGTCTTCGTGTTATGATCGCCTTTTAACCCCGTTTTTGTATCATTCCATCCAAAAACATTGGGGGCCAAGTCAACATTGGGGGCCCAACTGAACATGGGGGGTGGCAGGACCCTCTCAAAATAATGCAAATCGACACCAGTGCTCTCTTCCCTCCCTTAAAGATTTGGCGAAACTAGAGCTATGATGGGAATATATGACCGCTATAAATTATTAGTCTTTGCACACGTTCCTGGACATCCGTTCTAGAAGCAGCGGGATTAAGGAATGTCTTCAAAAAATGTCCCATATTCCTAGTATATATAATTTTACAGCCTCCATAAAGACCGACACAAAACCGGAATCCCGGATGATCCCACGAGAATACCCACTGCACTGGATCCAAATTGAAGGAGACAGGTCCCGCACCACGTCAAGTGGCGCCTTCCATCATTTCTTGAAACCCCGCCGGCTGTACTCATTTAATGGCCCAGCCATTCAATGAGATGATGCAACGTCATTGACTACAGGCACATTGCCTGTGTAGAAATAGGATGGTATTCCCGACACAGCTATCTGGCAGCAACTATGATGTCATACAAATGTTCCATGGCGTAATCAAATAAGCTTATTTACTAAATATTGGGTTGTTGTGTGGAGCGGTCTTTTGCACTTGAAGTGTTCCAATAGATACAAGGTGTTTTCATCATACCTGATGCTTTTCTCAAATCCCCGAAATGTGGAAAATGCCTGATGATGGCCCATGGTTTTTTATAGGCGCTACATCAGTGGAACCCGCGAAAATAAAAGGAGTGTCTACAACAATAGCGCATTGAAGACAGATAAGTGCTCGAGGAAATGTTGCATTGGCCGAATTGGCCATAGCTAGCTGTGATGTGAGAGATCGGCATATTTCGAGTAAATAGGAGAAATGGAAGGCAATGAAAGCGCTGGCAGCATTGAAAGATTGTGAAGATCATCTTGGCTGTAATGTTTGGTCGTAAATAATCACTTCAGGGATGGCGCGCACCTATGGTAGATGGTAAGCAGGCTTTTGTTCTCTTATTTTTTGCCAAACCATTATGGGTATGCGGGCTTGTATCTGACAGTTGGCAAATTCTGCGTTGACTTTAGAGTTAAGCAGCCTCTTTCTCAATCAGGGTGGCTCTGATACTCTGGAATTTTTATTATTCAGTCAGTGCCAGGATGCTGACCTGCAAAAAAATGTGTATGCTGCAATGTTCAGTGCTCATTGATCCTTTGAGTTTGGCTCCTGTGTATGTCAAGCTCATTGAGGCTAAATGGCACACATTTTTATATAGTTATGCATTTAAGCTATCTGGAGGATCTTCTGGATATTCTGCTGCTTGAAATTGCTTTTACAATATAGTAATATTGTCAAACATCAGCTCTCCACATTTTGAAATTTGTGACAGTCTTGCTCCAAACTTGCCTTTCGTGTGATACAAAAAATAATTTTTTGGCACCATAGTATGCACATTTGGTGAAACAGGTATTGTGTGCAGGCAGCCCAGGATGACTGCTTGACTTATGTGTGGGTGAGGTAGACTGGGGCAGTTATGCATGTGATATAATTGTCTTATCAGATAACATATGCAGGCTTCCATGAATCCCACCTGCACTGGTTTACAGATGAAACTGCAGTTATTCCATCAGAATTGAGTGAAATTCAAGCCTTCTTATTTTGGAATTCAGATTTTTTAGAGTCGGAAACAGCATACCATGCTGTAAGTGGGAGTTTGAATACATTTCTTCATCAATTCACCCCCATTTTCTATGTTTATATGCTGCATTTTTTTGCCCTTTTCTATTAAATGCACTTCATTTTATTTGGGATGTGATTTTGAAACAGTGGGGTTGATTTGGGTTGTGGTGAGAGGTAGGAATTAGAGAGCAAATTGTCTGTGTGGTGTAATAATAGCTGCTTCCATGATGCTATTGTGATTGAAATGTGTAAAATGATGCATGATGCCTTATTGAATTATGACATTGTATTTTGGAAGTGTTGAAACATTAAGACAAGTCAAAGGCACTATTTACCACAGATTAACTTCATGTTTGTGCAACCCATTGCAAGATAATCTTTGGCCACTTGGATCATGAGTAGTTACTTCATGATTTTTCAATATATTTTTGAGTGTGTATTGCTTGAAAAATTTCTCTGCAAAATGTGTTTACTACACAACACACAATCTATGCCACTTATCCAACACAAATCCATTTCTGTCATCCAAGGGAAAAAGCCACAACCATTTCTTCCAGAATGCTGATATTGTGATCATTCAATGGCCTATCCTCCGATGCAACATTTTATAGAAAGCTTGATCAGGTTACTTATGGTCCCTTTGGTTTGCAGATTTGTTTCTCAAGTCCTTCAAGTCCTTAAGTCCTTAAAAATTCAGCTTTTCTGGCTAATGACAAAATAAAAGGCAGCACTATTTGATGAACCAAAATCCATGTGCTGGTCTGGGATGTCATCACACACTAAAGAAGTGGCACCCAGAATCATACACTCTCCACCTCTGCAAAGTGCTTTTCTGTTTCAGATGCAGCGTTTTGCTGGCGATGGGGACGCGCGTCGTCCTGGAGAACATCCGCTATTTCATACAGACCCTGATCCCCCGCGCCGAGACGGGCTCGCCGTGGACTGAGACCGACCTGACCTCGGCCCTGGGTTGGGCCGACTTCTGCCAGGCGGCGGCCGTCTCCGCCCCCGGCTGCCCTGCCGAGCGCGTGCTGGTCGACTTCGTCCGCGTCGTCGCGCGCGGCCGAAGCGACCTGGATGTGGCGCTGCTGCAGCAGGCGCGGCGCGCGCTCCTCTCTCGCCTGCTGCAGAACCCCCGCGTCGGCGATGCGGTGCTGCGCACGGCGCTGGCTGCTCTGCGCCTCTCCGGCGAGCTGGAGACCGTGGTGGCAGAACTGGCGCGCTGCAAGCAGGCGTACCGAGAGGCGGCGGCGGCGCTGCGACGCGCCGGCGGTCGGCGCCACCTGCAGGCGCTCGCCTTCCGCCGCTACCTGGTAGAGGGCGCGCGCGCCGGCCGGCCGGCCAGCTGGCTCCGTGAGAAGGCGGCCGAGCTGGCAGACGGCCCGGAAGGACCACGTATGACTGCCCTTGCCCTCTCCGCCGCCCCGCCCGGCGCCGCCGAGGACGCTGACTTGAATCCGGCAGTGGACGTGGAGGCGACTGTGGACATGGCGCTGGAGCGGCAGCTGGCGGCGGCGCCGGCCGACTGGGCGCAGCACGTGCCAGAGCGGACGCTGCGCCGCCTGGTGGCGCGGCCGACGCTCTGCGCCGCGCTGGAGACCGCCTGCGACCAGTCCGGCGCCGGCGCTGCTGGAGCCGCTGCTGCTGGCCGCCCGGTGCGACCGGTCCGGACGACTGCGCCGGAGGCTGCGGCGGACGCCGGCCGTCACTGGCAGTACGCGCCGCGCCGACTCCGTCTGCCTGGCCGCCCTGCTGCCCTGCTTCCAGCGGACGGACGCCGACGGCGAACTGGACGAGCTGTTGTGACGCCGGCGCTGCGGCGGCGACGCCGCGGAGGTGGTGGTGGGGAGGGGGGTGAAGCCGAGTCTTCGTCAGTCGAGTCTAGTCTTCCCATCAACTAACCCAGAAGTGATATGGGTAGGTGCGTCATGTCAGTTGACAGTGCGCTGATATTTGCTCTACGGTCGCTGCCTTCCCTCAGGTGGCGACATATACGGTGCGCAACTAAGTTTATGTGTATGCTGCCGTGCAGCCGGCCTTCACCTGCGGTTACGGTATGTATGCTGCCGTCGAGCTGGATGGTGGGCTTGTCACTTAACATTTCGGCAGTCATTTGCATTGTGTGAACCGCATTTGGTACGCGTTCATCCGAGGGATGCTGTCCGAAGAGTCTTACCTGCCACTTAACTCATTTTACAGATCGTTTTGTGAAATTCTTGCTGCGGATGTGAAAGCCCAATGTATCATTTTGACACGGATAAATATCAAGAGAACCGCCAATGGAAGTGTCTCACTGACGCTACTTAATATTCCGAAAATAGCTGTGGTAAAAACTAGTTTTACATAAAACCCCATGATGCAACTACGGCGTTGGCATTCTGTTGTGGTTATGACTACGCAAAAATTAACAATAAAATCTTACATAATTTGTCAGCTGTCTATTCCGCGGTCGTTGGAAACCGAGAGACGTGGTTTGCAAAGCACATTCGTTTTTCTTCCCTGGTCGCGGCTTTAGCCGCTATTGCTGCAAAGATACGTCGTCCCTCACGGTCTCCTGAAACAATAAACATCTTTACAACAAAAGACATTTATAGAAAAAACTGGAAGACCTTGATAGAGTAGAAGGTAGCGGAAAAAGACGAACCGAATTGCATCAATATCTCCATTTTGTACATAATAGTGGTTACGGCTGCTGTTTTTGAAGTAATTGGGTTAAGTTACATCATGCCAACGTTATGGTACGTTGTGGAGCAACGCGAGTTGACTGATGCGGGACTTTTCCTGTGGATGGAAGTCGTTGCATCCAATGATCCACGAACCAGTAGCCAGATAATCAAGCGAACCTACATGAACCACCCAGAACAGATCTTCACTAGCCACGTTATCAGGGGCTCCCCCCCCCCTTGGGCGGCAGTACCTCGCACCGATGATCGCCCGTCAATGATGCCCCGTCGGTATTATTTTTGGCTGGGAAACTACTAGCGGCTTGTTTTGTCTCGTGCCTGATTTGCATACCGGTATGGAATACAAGCATATTGTGTAATACATCCACCTGCTTGCTGCGTTTTGATATGCTACTCCAGTTTACCTACTTTCAGCTTACATCACAGAAACAAGAACGCAAGTTGTGCTAGAGGTCAAGCAAGGGCACCACACACCATTTCTCGTGGCAATAATCGCCACGTCGTGCGTCGGCCAGGTGTAGGATAATCGGCCAGGGTAGCAGTCCAATCGAGCCGGTCGATTGTGCAATTTTGACATGCACTGAGCAGAGCAAGCAATCTTTAGACCGTTTTCAGTGTGCCATCTATGGCGGACGGTCCAGCCTTCGGGCGATATTCACGGAGACGGAGACTGGTGGCCGTCTGTACCGCAGACTCGCGACAGAGCCAGGAATTACCAGAAGCCTAAGACGCTCCTGACCACAAGTTGGGGAACACAAACATGTAATATTTATTTTTGAAAGCCATGTATATTTTCGATCACAGTACTTTGGTTTCCAATCCGGTGTCTCCATCTATTGGTTGGTGAATTCAAGCGGCAGACGTTCACACAAGAGTAAAGAAAACAACACTTAAGTGACGTAATTTGTCTTACGCAGCGCCGACAAACGTGCCTGGTACCGCAAAATATGTTCTTCCATGGCACGCTGTTTTCATACGAATTTTCATACGACGTACGTGCTGTCGGAATCTTGCCATAAAGATAGCAGCCGGTGGACAGTTACGCCCCGACCAGAGTTCCTCGGGGCCACCGGCAATGCATGCGCGCGCGCCCGCACAAACCCTCCCCAGTTGGCACTGCAGCGCACACCAACCACCAAACGTAAGCCCCACACCAGTGGACAACTAATCGACGGCTGCTCACCACACTGACCAGATATGACACGTATCACACAGCGACAAGGACGAGAGGTTACGCAAGCGCGCCGGCTCCCGCGCATTCCAAGCAGCAAGCCATCAGTCGGCCTGCGCCTGCCGGGCGTCTCCGCCGGATACGAGACTCGCCGTCATCGACAGCGGCGCGACGGCCGGCGTGTGGGCGCACGCACGAGCCGACGGCGCCGGCTGCCGGTTCGGCCGAGCGGGTCGCGGGCATCGTTCACCGGGCCACGCACAGGAAAGACGAAAGCTCTGAGAGGGAGAGGGCGAAGTGCTCGTATGAGATCACTGACGCTCCCGCGCCGGCTACCACACGGCGCGGCCGACCGAGACAGAGGGACAAGGCCTCTCACGCCCGCGGAACGGGTTGTGAGGCGAACCACGCGCGCGCCACGCTCGGGTTCAACAGCGACGGCTCACCGCCGCCACAGCGCACGCGACGCGTCTCTCGCGCCGCCCGTGCATCAACCTTGTCTCTCAGCCTTACGAACCCAGCCCAGTTCCGTCCGGGCTGCCCGGGCCACTCGTCCCAGCTCCGGGTCACCCTGTCTTGTTCCGGGTCACTCGCGTCTGTGCGGCTGCGGCTGCGGCTGCGGCTGCGGCCGCGTCTCGTGCTCAGCAGCGGCTCGTCGACGTCCCGCGGGCCGTCTACGTCAGCGCCTGGTGCTCTGTCAACTGCATCACCTCCAGCGGGTTCCGGTTCTGGAAACGACAACCGAACTGGTTGAGCGAGCGCGCGGCACCGGCTCGGTGACGCACATCGGTCGAATAGCGCACAGTGCACGCGCTCACACCAAGACGCGCGATGGTAAGTCACGGCCGAGTTTAGTCACAGACACGCGCGGGCGTGTGTGTCAAGGCTCGCTGCAAGCCCATTTCCTTGACATCATGAACGCCTAGGTGTGACTTGCACTCATTGAGTCGGCAGCATTCGGAAAATGTTGATATCTCTCCAGCCGGCAGTCAGAGAGCCCAGAACCGACCGTTTGTCATTTACGACATACCTTGTCGTTATTGGTGAGATGTTTGATGCGGCTGAAGAGTCCGCGGCCAGAGGTGGTGCCACCCTGTTGGACCTGCACGTCATCCTCCTCGCCCTCGTCCAGTGCGCACGACTCGGCAGACGGCAGCACCATGTTACCCTCGCCGTCCCTGCAGAGCAGCGGCGGCTTCAACTCAGCACGGCAGCCAGTCCACACCGACGGACTGGATACAAGAGAGACCGGGTTGAGTGAGGAACTCCGCTGCCTGCGCGGTAGCGGTTGGGAGATGGTTGGCACTATCTTCTATAACGACTGTGAAGTATGTGAGGCACGGAATCAAGGCCCGGTCCTCTTATGCGACCCCCCCCCCCCCCCCCCCGAGCCCCAACCCGTTCCAAGCGTACAGCCAGCTGAGTGTCCGGCCATATCGGGTACAGATAGCTGCTTACTTGTTACTGGCCGACTTCACAAGCTTCATATACTTGTACTCGAGCTTTTGATTTTTCTTGTAGTAGTGGCAGAGCAGAAGGAAGAAGCACAGCGCGAACGATACGGCGCCGACTATGGTAACCTGCAGCAAACACACGGCGCCTCAGCTCCCTGCGCGGCCCGGCTGTGGCGATAGCCGCCTTCGTCACCGCCCTGAGAACGCATCACTGCACCACCGCTGTGACATCACACCTCCACATCCCACCAGCGCTCGGACAAAGTGGCAATCGGGAGGCCCCAGACCGCCACCACCCCTCATCTGAACGGCGACGAGCGGGAGAATGCAGAGCGGAGCGGGCACCCTTGCCGCCCGCCAGCCTGACCTGGATGGTGAACGGCAGGTGCGTGGAGCAGGCCACCTTCCTGGTCTGCACCGAGATGTCGTCCGGACCGACACAGTGTTTAGGCGGCAGGTAGTGCAGTCGCTGCTCGCCGCCCTCGCACTCTCCCTTCACCACTCTGCCGGCGCAGGACGGGGGCGGCTGTGAGCACACCGCGTCCGAGCGAGACTCGCAGGGGCGCGTGGAGCGTCACGCCGCATGGTGTGATGTGACGCGTCACACGACATGCGCCACGTCGCTGGCATCCAGACGCTCCTGTTCACACCGATAACGCTCGCAGCATGAGGCAGTCATCTCTGGGCTAGCTGTGGACGCACGGAGCTCTGAAGGCCACGGACTCGCCACAGCCTGACGGGAGTCGCCGCAGCGGAAGCTGCACGAATTACGCTTGACTCGGTGTACACCACACCAGCTGGCACTGAAAGGAAACGCGCCACACGCCACAACGGCGACACGTCCGCCGGTCCAGCCTTCCTTCCCTCCTTCCAGACAGGTGACCAGCAGCCCGCCGCCAGGCCCCGAAGCAGAGCCCGCCGGTGGCCGCGCCGCAGACTCACACGTAGTCCTTCTCGAGGCAGGCGGGGCCGGCCAGCGCTGTCTCCCAGAGGAAGTGGAAGTTGCAGCCGTCGCAGGTGCCGTCCGGACAGCGGGCCGGCAGGCGGACGGTGCCGTTGCCCGGCTGGTCAGCGTTGTAGCGCACTGTGACCGTGGCCGTCCGGCCGCTCGGGCACGCCCTCGTCGCCCTGGAGGGGTGCGCGGAGTCAGCCGGGGCGGCAGCGGGGTGGGGGGTTGGGGGACGGCGAAGATTGAGTTAATCGGGGATGTTGACGGCACAGTGCTGCTCTCTCCTGCTGCGTTCTCTTTCCATATCCCGCGGATCCGCTGGTGGCTATCACAGAGACGTTCCAAACGTGATGGTACGGACGTCAACGTGGGGACGCTTGCGTTGGAACATTTCATCTGAGGACGACGGTGGAAGAAAGACGGCTGGTGGCCAGACGCATGCTAACCCTCTTCAGCTGAAGCAAGTTGCGCTGAGCACCACTGCACACGCGTTCGCCTCTCAAGCACAGCATCGCGCACGCCTGCAACTCCTGCCCCAGCACACCACACGACAAGCCGCCGACGGCCGCGCGTCCCGGCCGGCCCAGACGCCAGTCTGCGACGCTGTGGCCCACTCACGACGGCGAGGTGAAGAAGAAATGGAGGTCGAGCGCGCCGGTGGCCTGCGGCAGGAACTCGGGGTAGACGGCCATGTCGCCCAGGGTCGGCTCGGCCGTCACGCCCAGCAGGTGGTCGGCCAGGCTCACCGACTGGGTAGCGTACGACTGGCGCGAGCCGTCTTCGCCGCGGGCTGGTACCACCGTGCTCCGGCACAGAAACGACTGCACCTGCTCGGGGAGGGCGTAGTTAGAGGGGGGGGGGGGGGGGGGGTAGAGGTGGTTCGAGGGGAGATTACATGGACGGTTATAGGGGGCAGCGATGGTGAGGGACGGCGCAGGGTTGTGAGGGGAGCGAGTGGACCTGCCCGGAGAGGGGCGGCTAGAGGTAAGTGGTGAGGGTGGTGGTAAGCTGGGCTAGCACAGGGTTGTCAGGGGAGGCGACTGCACCTGATCGGAGAGGGGGCGGTTAGACGGGATAGTTGGAGGGGGAGTTGGAGGGAACGGCGATGTTGAGGGACGGCACGAGGTTGTCTGGGGAGGCGAGGAAGACGTGGTAGTGACTGCGCCTGTGCCCACAGGCGGTCTTCAGAGGGACGGCGACGAGGAGCCAGGACTCTGTAGCGGCGCGACGCTGGGTCGTCACGGGACACACGGGACGGGAGCTGACGGGCGGCTCAGCAGACAGCCTCGCGACGCAACATCGCACTCAAGCGGCGGTAGGGAGCTAATGTTAGTGGAGGGTGCAGGACGAACAAAGTGCCGGGAGATTTATTTTATTTTACGGGAGATACAGGGATATCAAGAATCAGCGGCCAATGGGTCAAAGGTGACGACGGAGCATGGCTAATACACAAGCCATTACATATTTGGTCCACGTGGATAAGACGCGCGGGAGTGTACTCCTAATCACATCAAGACATCACAAAAGTCCTCAGCCCACGCACACCAATTCACGGCCAGAGCAGAAACACCAGGCAACATTTACTCCACACGCCTGCACGCCGCTTGACAAACCTTTCTAGTGCACCAGCACCACTTAAGAGCACACCCACCGGCAGCGTCGGTCACCCTTTACCGCCACCGCTCTGCCCTGTCCCCCCACCCTCCGCTATCGATCGGTCGCTGTTGACCTGCCGAGCGTCACGCAAGCCCCAGCGCTACCCGCTGCCCACTCACGAGCTTCTCGTCAGCCAGCTGCTCCTCGTGGTAGGAGACGTTGTTGCGGCAGGTGGCGCGCGCGCCGCCGCACAGGCTCATGTTGAACAGGTGGAAATACTGGGTGCCCGAGGCCGTGAAGAGCGTGCTGCCCTCTATCGGGAGCGGTCTGTGGGGAGAGGTGTCACAGCGCGGGGTGCGCACGCCCGTCCAGACGGGTCATCGCGGTAGCAGTCTGCTGGAGCAGGCCTGGCACACGGGTGTAACGTGACAGCTGGCACGGGCTGACACCTCCCATCGCTCCCATCTGGAGGCAGCCATGAACTGTACACCTTCCTCACATGGAAAACTTTCGGATTTTGGTGCAGTTCGCTGTTTGGTTTCGTACCAGCGCCCGACCGACGGAGGTATGGATATTTAACATCGGCGAAGGTTATCCAAAGATGATGTAAGGAATCCGACACGCGAAGAGCATCACATTCGGTTCAATAACACCTGTCCCCTGGCACTCCTCACTCACCGGCACAGCACCGTCACCACCGACCCTTACCAGCACCCTCCGTGGGTCCGAGCAAGCCACCGCTCCCGTCCCCAGCACCGCAGCTCGTGACAGCGTGCCGCCTGCGCCGCGGTTACTCACCGCTCCCGCCCAAGCTCCCCCGTCCCCAGCACCGCAGCTCGTGACAGCGCGCCGCCTGCGCCGCCGTCGCCCACCGCTCCCGCCCAAGCTCTCCCGTCCCCAGCACCGCAGCCCGCGACAGCGCACCGCCTGCGCCGCCGTCGCCCACCGCTCCCGCCCAAGCTCTCCCGTCCCCAGCACCGCAGCTCGTGACAGCGCGCCGCCTGCGCCGCGGTTACTCACCGCTCCCGCCCAAGCTCTCCCGTCCCCAGCACCGCAGCCCGCGACAGCGCACCGCCTACGCCGCCGTCGCCCACCGCTCCCACCCAAGCTCTCCTGTCCCCAGCATCTCAGCTCACAACAGCGCGCCGCCTGCACCGCCGTCGCGCACCGCTCCCACCCAAGCTCTCCTGTCCCTAGCATCTCAGCTCACAACAGCGCGCCGCCTGCACCGCCGTCGCGCACCGCTCCCACCCAAGCTCTCCTGTCCCTAGCATCTCAGCTCACAACAGCGCGCCGCCTGCACCGCCGTCGCGCACCGCTCCCACCCAAGCTCTCCTGTCCCTAGCATCTCAGCTCGCGACAGCGCGCCGCCTGCGCCGCCGTCGCCCACCACTCCCACCCAAGCTTTCCCGTCCCCAGCACCGCAGCCCGCGACAGCGCACCGCCTGCGCCGCCGTCGCCCACCGCTCCCGCCCAAGCTCTCCCGTCCCCAGCACCGCAGCTCGCGACAGCGCGCCACCTGCGCCACCGTCGCTCATCGTTTCCACCTAAGCTCTCCTGTCCCCAGCATCTCAGCTCGCGACAGCGCGCCGCATGCGCCGCCGTCGCCCATCGCTCCCACCCAAGCTCTCCTGTCCCCAGCATCTCAGCTCACGACAGCGCGCCGCATGCGCCGCCGTCGCGCACCGCTCCACCCAAGCTCTCCTGTCCCCAGCATCTCAGCTCGCGACAGCGCGCCGCATGCGCCGCCGTCACCCACCGGTCGAGCCGCGAGAAGTCGAAGGCGCGTCCGCTGACGTTGGCGGTGCAGGCGGTGGTGCAGCGCTCGCCGTCGGCGCTGGAGAGGCCCGGCCCGCACGGCTGGCACGAGGCGCGCCCGTAGCTCAGCGGACCGACCACCACCGTGTCGGCAGGGCACGGCTCGCACCGGCTGGCCGCCACGTCCACGTAGTGCCCGGCCGGGCACGGAATGCAGCTCTGGTCCTGCGTGCCCTGGCGGTGCGCGCACCGTGTCAGTCGGCAGGGCGACGCCGGGCAGGGGGGGGGGGGGCCTGACAGGCGCCACGGGGCACCACGGCGGTGTCGGCCGCGTCGGTGGTGTTCGGATTACGGATTGGATGTGGCAAAGTGGTGGATTTTAGGAATAGCGGGGAATATCCAAGCACAGGCTAGGATAGTGCAGGCGAGCTCGTGTGATGACAGCCTAACACATACGTAGCAGGGCGCGAGTACTGCGGCAGCGCTGCGCGCGTTGGGCATGCAAAAGAACCAGCCATGAGAGAAAAGCTTTTAATTGTCTGAAAACCGAGTTCTCATCGAGAACAAACGAAGAAACATCTCAAACGTTCCGCAACAGCGTGAGGGAACCGTTGCATGTTCAACAGACCAACAACCACGAGGTTCGCCGCTGACCGCAGCGACGACAGCGCCCTCTATATTGCCGGGTACCCTGAACCGAACGACCCACCAGGTACCACCACTGTTCGCCACGCCCGAGACGATTACTCCAGCGTGCGATCCGTTAACAAACGTCAAACATTCGTCACGGCTGTAGCTCACGGACGGACCGCGTGCTTGACGCAGCTCAGCGGACCCAGCTCAGCGCGGCTCACGCGGCGTCCCTCTCACCCGCTCCGAGGCGGTCCGGAGGGCGAGCGCTCACCTTGGGACAGGGCAGGCAGGAGGCGGCGCCGCCATCCATCGTGTTGGTGACATTGATGCTGTAGATGCGCACCATGTCCCTGTCGTAGAGCCTGCTGCTGGCGAGGGCGCTCAGCGCCTCGTCCCAGCTCATCTTCTGGAACACCCAGCTGAACGTGTAGCTGGTGTTGCGCGTGATGGGGTAGGAGAAGCGCTGTCGCTTCTGACGCCCGGTCCACGACTTGACCAGCGACACCTCCGTCGTCGGGGTGGACTGTGGGGCAGGCGGGGAGGGGCAAGGGGTGGGGTCACGGCTTACCGCTGACGGCTGAGACGGCCCAGTGCTCGCCGGCTACCATGGCAACGGGCGCCGGCCGGCCGACAACCCGCCGCCCGCTGCTAAAACAGCCACGCTGTCTCGCGCCACGCCCCGGCCGACACGTGAGCGTGCGGTGATGGCCTGGTCTGGCCTCCATCTCCTCCGGTGGATGGAGGCCAGACCAAACACAACGCGTCACAGTGGCCGCCGCTTGACGCCGAAGGTACTCCAGATTTGACGGAGCCGGGCACATTATTGTTATCATTATTATTATTGCTGCGAGCCTTGGCGAAATCCAGCGAGTGGCTATTCTTACGCCGCGTCAGTACATATCAAAAAGATAAACATAGAACACGCAACACATGCAGATGAGACGTAACGCCAGCGATACACATACGATGTCACAAAACATGAGTGACTTGTGATACAATCAGCACCTGGACGTCACGGCCAGTTGGTCAATTTACGTGAGTTCTATAATGAACGACGTTGCTTTGCCCTTGAACTCATTAAAGTGCTTGCACTGGCGCGAGGCAGCAGGGAGGCGATTCCACGCCGCTAAGGCTCAATAGGGAAGTGCCCTTTTCACGCACCCTAAGCGAGGATGTTTTTTTAGTGCTCGTCTGCAGTACAGTTTCGTCATCGGTGGCTCTGATGTGCCACTGAGATACTTCTGATCGGCGCCTGATCAGGTTACTGATAGCCTGCGGCCCATCAGGCACGCAAATGGCGCGGTGCAAACATGCAGTCGCGATGGGTAACGGTCTCGTCGAAATTGGGTCAATTCAGCTGTTCTCGGGACTTCCATGATGTGATCCCGTCTGCGTGTGCCGGCAACAGTCCTGACCGCGAAGTTAGTGGCCTTTTCCAGGCGCTGGCGCTGAACGGCTGTTGTCGGGGCCCATGCACATAAACAATATCTGATGCGAGGGAAGGCCAGTGACTCAACTGGGGACTTTATTATGGAGCTGGGAAACACTATGCCTAAGCTTGTTAATAACTGTGAGGAAACCAAAACAGCGCTGAGTAGTTTTGGCCGTTTCATGCTGCCAGTTGAGATTTTCATCGATGAGCACCGCTAGTATTTTGATGTACTCTGAAGGAGACAGCTGAAAGTTATCAAAATTCTCGTTCAGCCCGGCGGCTTTGCGGGTGTTGGTGGGTGTGCCAGCAACAATGAATTTAGTTTTTGGTGAGTTGATCTTTATACCATTGTGACGAAACCTACTGAAACGATAGTCAGATCGGACTCAACACACGAACGCAGTTGTGCGAGACCACAGGCAGATGGTGATTCGCGCATTGGCTGCATGTCGTCTGCATATGACACCGGTTTACACGTAGTTGACAACACTGGACGTCGTTGGTAAAGAGGAGGAACATCGGCGGTCCTTCTATGCTGCCCTGAACCACGCCATAAGCGACCTAAAGGCTCCGCCCGTTTCCATCCTTCAGTCTGTCGGCGGTCGGTGAAATAATCCGGAAATCAGTGTGGTGAAATACCGTAGCACTCCAGCTTGGCGAAAAGAGCAGAGCGGTCTACACCATAGAAGGCTTTTGATAGGTCAGTTGCGCTGATGGTGGTGACCATACCAGCGTTCATGTTGTTTATGTGACTGACTATATCGATGACTGCATGCTCGGGGGAGTGGTGAGGACGGTACGCGTATTGTGAGTCATCACAAATGTGGTGACTAGTCACATCTTCTAAAAGCTGAGTACAAACAACCTTCTCCATCAGCTTGCTTACAACACTGAGAACGCTGATCGGCCTGTAATTCGACGGCTCAGACGCCAGTCCCCCTTATGCAGAGGCACGATTGTCGCAAGCTTCCATATGGACTGGACGCTACCAGTGGTGATAGAGTGGTTTACAATGGTGGAACAAACATGGTCAGGGCCAACCACTCCAAAACACTTCCTGAGCACGGATAGGCACACATTGTCCGGACCTACTGCCTTAGAGTTGCTAATGCGGCGCAGCGCGAGACGAGACTAAGCTCCGGCAGGGCGACCGATCTGACGCGGAAAGCGCCACTGACCACCCTTGGCAGCCGCAGAGGCAGGTTCGCGCCGGGTTCGCCGCTCAGGGCGTCGGCAATACGCTGTCCTGCCGTGACGAAGTATTCGTTGAATTTGTCAGTGTCTGTTGGGTCCAGAATGTTGGTGGATTTTGCCAGTTTGTTAGCGATGGCGCATTTCTTCAGCTCGCACCAGGCTTCTTATGTTTCGGTAGAATCGCACCTGAAGAAGTCAGCTTTGGCAGTCCTGAGCCCACTAGTAAACTCTTCTTTTGAGGACGCTGTATTGACGTTTTGCCTCGTCCGTGTTCGTGATGTCACGCGCGCGCCGAGCGGTGTCGCGCCTCGCCTGCAGGTCGTGCAGCTCCCCGCTACCGCTCAACCAGGGACACTCGGGGCGGCGGAAGCTGATCGTCTTGACAGGACAGTGAGCGTTGACAGTGAAGGTTCCGGATGTTCAGGAACTCAGCGTATTTGTCATCGGCAGACGTGGCACTGTAGATGGGCTGCTAGCCAGCCAACGACAGGCCGAGCATTAGATGGTTAAAGACGGTGTTCGTTGCCGATCTGACGGTAATGTGCCGCTGGGTAGTTTTAGCTTTAGGGAAAGGTGCGTCCAGAGAGATGAGGTAGTGATCGCCGATGTGGCATACAATCACTTTGGCGTGATGAGAGGTATCAGGAATGTTGGTTATAATGTGATCGATGAGGGTGGCAATGGCAGCTGGATGGGTGGATTGCCGAACCAGCTGATGAAGTCCCAGGTCGTGCAGCATGGTGACATACTGCTGCACACCGGACTTGTTTGGGTTCAAAATGTCAAGGCTGAAGTCGCCGAGAACAAATAGCGGCTTGCCCATGCTCGTGATGTCCTCTATGTAGGTGAGTCCGGGGACGGCAGGCGACGCCCGCGATAGCTGGTCTGACGCTCCTGCCGGAGATGTTCAGCCATAGCGTCTCCAGCCCTCCTGCCAGGTCTGATGTCGTGTCGAGCCTGCGTGCAGAGAGCTCCTCGCGGAGGACGATGGCGACACCGCCGTCGCGAACAGCCCGTTTGCCGCTGCGAGGAATCTGACGACCGAGCCGCTGTATTTTGAAGCCAGGGAAGAGAAGAAGACTGCCGGCGGCGCTGCCCGGAGCTCGGATCCGCCTCTGAGCGGCAGCTCCTGCTCCGCCGCCGGTGGCGCGACCTCCGCCCAGTCACGTGATTATCGGTAGTCAGTAGAACAGTTCTTGGTGCTCTGATGGGCTCGCCAGGCTGGTGTACCTCTCCGAGAACCGGCAAAGCGCGGGACGTTCAAACGTGACGCGTTGAGGATATGCCGTGATGTGGATATACACATGTGCGTGATGGGCTGCTTGTCGGCTTCTGCTCCCCGCCACACAGTAGGTACTAGTCGCGCCCAGACAATATATCAACTGACAACTTGGCCTTTGTCTGGGTACCGTCGCCCATCCGCTGACGCACCTGTCCGCTACCTTTACACTGTTATGATGCATGTAACCATGACGCCCACCGCCTTCGTAACCCCCTATGTCGCCAGTTGCCAGTGGCAAAATCAAAACAGTCACCACCCTCCAGCCTGTGAGTCTCTCAAGCCCGCATCCCCCAACCACAGCCCAAACGCTCCCAGCCCTGCAACACAAGAGCACAGCAGCAGCACAGCAGCACAGCACCTTAATCATCCCAGCACCGGTACCGACCTGCATAAAGGCGAACTCGCAGTCGGTCTTGCAGTCGACTTCGAAGGCGAACGAGACGGCGCCCACCTGGCGGGCGGCGCCGTTCAGAAGGCCGCCCGACGAGCGGAAGCCGGCCACGACCAGCGAGAGCACCAGGTAGACGCCGTCGGCGTGGCCGCGGCCCGAGTGCACGTACTCGCCGGCCGGCTGCCAGCCCTCGGACGTGCTGCAGCCCAGGCCTGCCAGCCGCCACGGCCAGCTGTGAGCGCGGCGTACCTAGGCGACTGGGTGTAACACACGAATGTCCATCGCCGTGACATCCTTGAGTCGCTGGAAATTGACACGGGGGAAATTGATCACACTGCCATAAAGCAATCCGCCAATAAACAAGACGACGGGCACGTTTTCTCATATCCCTGTTCACATGCAACTTCCCAGACATCCTGCTCGCCTTTGTCACATACAAACCGCCTGGCCTAGTCTGCTCACCGCAGGCAGCAGCGTCCTCACATCGCGACGCCCCCGACGGAGGACGCCGCGCCGCCTCGCCTACCGCGGAGGACGCTGCGTCGCCTCGCCTACCGTCTAAGTCTGACGGAGGACGCTGCGCCGCCTCACCTACAGAGGAAGACGCTGCGCCGCGTCGCCTCACCTACAGAGGAAGACGCTGCGCCGCGTCGCCTCGCCTACCGCGGAGGACGCTGCGCCGCCTCGCCTACCGCGGAGGACGCTGCGTCGCCTCGCCTACCGTCGAAGTCTGACGGAGGACGCTGCGCCGCCTCGCCTACAGGGGAAGACGCTGCGCAGCGCCGCCTCGCTTCGCCTACCGCGGAGGATGCTGCGTCGCCTCGCCTACCGCGGAGGACGCTGCGCCGCCTCGCCTACCGCGGAGGACGCTGCGTCGCCTCGCCTACCGCGGAGGACGCTGGGCCGTCCCGCTTACCGTCGAAGCTCATGCAGCTGGCGGCCATGCCGGGCGGCAGCGTGGCCCAGGCCGTCAGCTGGTATCCGTAGTCGGGCGCCGTACTCGGTGGGCATGCCTGGCAGCGGGCCGTGCCCTCGCCGTGCGTCCCGCGGCCGCAGTATTCGCACCCTGTCGACGCAGCAGCGCTCGGTCAGAGGCACGGGAACGCCCGGCCAGCGGCATAAGGGTGCCTGGCCAGCGGCACAGCGGCGCCCGGCCGGTGGCACAGAGGCTCCGGCCGGTGGTACAAGGGTGCCTGGCCAGCGGCACAAGGGTGCCTGGCCAGCGGCACAAGGGTGCCCGGCCAGCGGCACAGCGGCGCCCGGCCGGTGGCACAGAGGCTCCGGCGGTGGCACAGGCGCACCCGCCCAATGGTGCCCGGGGTCACACCTGCTGCGTACTGCACCGCATGCCATGCTTGTCATGCGGCGCAGCACGGTTCCCGTAGGAGGTGACCGCGGGTGGAAGAATGCTGTGCGGCTTATGTGCAACTGATGTGACCCGTCGGCGCTTACGATGCTTGATCGGCTCGAACTCTGTATCACATTATTGACCGGACAGAATGCCATACTCGCTTGCCTGAGCTATATAGTCATCACCTCCTCGTGATTTTAGACTTTTGATACGGTCTGCGCTCATCGCATTCCTTCACGACATTTGTATTCTCTTCGGTGGGCTTACTGCCGACATTTACAGCAGCAGGGATATGCTTAAGCCGTGTCTGACAGCGTGGAACCAGCTGGCTCCCCGTATGGTGCCTAAACGATTTGGCCGACCGAAACACGTGTTTTAGTTTGCATACAGGCAGCACAGGTGTCCTCAGTGCCAGCGGGAGATCTCACTGATTCAGACCGCTCCAAACACTGCCAGACTCTTCCAGTAAACTGTGGACGGTCCCAGAGGAGCGCCGTGTTCCCATCTGACCCCGAACGACCTCAGCCAACTTTGCGACATTCCATGTGACTGAATCTAACCCTGGAATGGCCCAAATGCTTTCGTGGCTGCATGTTTCCGTCTGATCATGCTCGATTCTATCTGACTTCGGGCCGCCCCCAGCGCTCTCGCACCCCTCCAGACAGCTCCGGGCAGTCCCACCAGGGACCCGACGGTTCCAGCGGTGCCAGCGCGGTCCCAGCTCCCCTCCCCAGTGTCCCCCTTGACCCGGACGCGCCCCGACCGGCCGCGTCGCTCCTTTGTCGGCGCTGACCCCGTCCCCGGACCGAGACATCGACCGGGCCGTGCGGGGCCGACAGCTCATTACCGGCAGTCTGGCCGGGCTTCACGCCTGTCGGCGCCATTAGCCGGCGCCCCCGAAAGCCCCCGCGGACGGCCGGCGCCCCCCCCCCCCCCTGCCCCAAAGACCGACCGCGCACGGCCGGCGCCCCAGAAAGCCCCCCCCCCCCTCCGCGGACGGCCGGCGTCCCCCCCCCCCGCCCCAAAGTTCGCCCGCGCACGGCCGGCGCCCCCCGACAGCCCGTCCGCACGCGACCGGCGCCCCCGACAGCCCGCCCGCGCACGGCCGGCGCCCCCGACAGCCCGTCCGCACGCGACCGGCGCCCCCGACAGCCTGCCCGCGGACGGCCGGCGCCCCCGACAGCCCGCCCGCGCACGGCCGGCGCCCCCCGACAGCCCGTCCGCACGCGACCGGCGCCCCCGACAGCCCGCCCGCGGACGGCCGGCGCCCCCGACAGCTCGCCCGTGCACGGCCGGCGCCCCAGACATTTCGCCCACGGACGGCCGGCGCTCCCGACAGCCCGCCCGCACGCGGCCGGCGCTCCCGACAGCTCGCCCTCGCGCGGCCGGCGCCCCCGACAGCCCGCGCGCGGACGGCCAGTGTGCCCGACAGCTCGCCCGCGCGCGGCCGGCCGGCGCGGGCCGCACCCCGGGTCAACGTCCCACGGTTGGCCCAACGACGCCGACCCGCCGGACCAGCGACGCTGACAAACAACAGCGGCCTGGGCGTAAATACAGGGTCGGCCGACGGCCATGGTAACATCCTCGGCGGGCGGCTGGAGACCGAACAGCCTGCCACCGAGGCAGCTTACAGGATGGCTGTTGCTATTTTAACCAATGCTGATGACTGCGATCTAGCCGTCACGACGCGTGAACTGCTCCATCGGATCATTTTCATTTTACAACCACCTAAAGGCATCATTGTTCTCCACGCTGAGCTACCGGACGCTCAACATTCTAGCGGTTTAAACATTTTAGCGACACCAGCAATAACTGCGTCGATTGATCATTCCGTTTCCCATCGCATCTGATACAAGTCAGATAGTGCTCACCCAGCAGCCATTAGACCGTGCCTGTGAGCCACTTCCAGAGGTTAGGACAACAGTCAGCTCGTTACTGAATAAAACTAGCTCCAACGAAAATATGCTGAAAAAAACAGCTTCCAAATTTCCATTTTTCTTGCATAGCAACAAAGAAGCTGAAAAGGGCGTTGGCATGTTATTCCTGCCGTTACCGACACTCGGCATCGGCGAGTACTCATCACGTGCAACCCTGAGATGGGCCAGCCAGCTCGTGTCCACCGGCGTCCTCTGTCGCCAGCCTTTCTCGGAAAGGACTTGGGTCAGCCAAGAGCACACACAGCAGCTGGTCTCTTAGGGCGTCAAGTTCTATACGGCGTTGATCATCCGGGGGTCAAGCCTGTACACGGAAAAGCAGCTCTTGGCTATCGCATCCTCAGTTGCCCCCACCCCTTCCCTCTGTGTTCACCTTGAGCGAGAGATATTGGAGGAAGAAGAGAACCGCACGGGGAATCCCCTCTGTGAGTAATTTCCCCTGTGTCCCTGCGCCACGCCTTTTTCTCTCGGACGCCGAGTCCGCCTCGCACCATCCTGGTTCCGTTGGCACGCGGGCTGGCAGGAGCGCGGCGCCCGAGACGCTGTCGGGCGGCTGCCGGCGCTGCCACCTCTGACCTTTGGCGGCGGCCGGCCGCGGGCGACTCACTCAGATTGTCGCCGTGCTGCATGCCGGGGCTGCAGGGCGGGCACGGCTTCTGGCGGCCGGACGGCGGCAGGCTGACCGCGCCGGGCAGGTCCTCTCGGCAGATCTTCGGCTCCACCCAGTGGTACTCGAGCCGCGTCTGCGGCACACGTCCCCGCCGTGTGGGGCCCGAGCAGGTGTGCATGGACGGACGCGACTAGCAGATGGCGAGTACAGTTATATGCTGCGGTGTCACAGCACGGTCAGTGGTCGTTGAAACAACTTGATGGCGGGGGGATAGTGGATTACTGGAATTAGTGTTCACAACATAGCATAAGTTACCACAAATCTTCCTCCTCCTCTTCCCCCCCCCCCCCCCCAACCCACAACTTCACATTTGTCTGGTAGTTTGTGTTTTACGCAGAGGACAGTGAACGGTTTCCAAACATTCAGTACGAATATACTGCACACCCATCAACCAATGAACATAACGTACACGTCGCTGCCAACTGAAGGGGCCATAACTCGGTCTATCCACGTCCCCTGCAGATCAGCGGCTATCCCCGTGTTTCCTACCCTGGCAGCCGCTCTCCCCGCCACCACGCGCGCGCCGCTCGTCACCTTGTTCTGCACACACGGCGAGTGCAGCTCATAGTAGTCGGCCGACGAGCACGGCTCGCGCCTGAAGCAGCGCGGCGAGCCTTTGGGTGCGTACTCGGTGTCCTTGTCGCAGGCGGCGCACTGGCGGGCGCCGCGTCCCGAGCGCGTGTTGGCCGGGCAGCGGCGGCAGTGGTCCGCCGCGCCGTGGCTGTACGTGCCGTTCTTGCACGGCGTACATGACGAGGTGTAGGCCACGCCTGCGGCCCACGAGACGCGGCTTCAACCGACGGAGGCGCAAGAGACCCCAGGCGCACCACGGGACGGCGTGGGACATACCAGGTACAGCACGGGGCGGAGCGGGAGACGCCAGGTACACCACGGGTTGGCGCGGGAGATGCCAGGTACAGCACGGGGCGGCGCGGGAGACGCCAGGTACACCCCGGATGGTCGCGAGAGACCCCAGGTACACCCCGGGTCGGCGCGGGAGACGCCAGGTACACCACGGGTCGATGCGGGGACGTCAGGTACACCACGGGGCGGCGGGAGACGCCAGGTACACCTCGGATGGTCGCGAGAGACCCCAGGTACACCACGGGTCGGCGCGGGAGACGCCACGTACACCACGGGTTGGTGCGGAGACGCCAGATACACCACGGGTTGGTGCGGGAGACGCCAGATGTGCTTCGGGTTGGTGTGGGAGACGCCAGGTACGCCACGGATCGGTGCGGGGATGCCAGGTACACCACGGGGCAGCGCGGGAGATGCCAGGTACATCACGGGGCGGTGCGGGAGACGCCAAGGTACACCTAGGATGGTCGCGAGACCCCAGGTACATCACGGGGCGGCGGGGGAGGGGGGGGCACGCCAGGCACACCCCGGATGGTCGCGGGAGACCCCAGGTACACCTCAGATGGTCGTGAGAGGCCCTAGGTACACCCAGGGTCGGCGCGGGAGACCACCCCGGATGAGTGCGGCGCCGTGTCTGTGGAGGGGGGGGGGGGGAGGGTCGGCGGGCGCGCGGTCGGGAGAGTGCTGGCGAGTATTGAGCGGTTGGCGGCGAATGCTGGAACAGTATCCGCGCGACACGGGGGAACGGCAGACGGGACAGAAATGGCGCGCGACGGGACCTGCACTGGGGCGCCGATGGCATGGCCGGCGACGCTGCGCCGCTGACACAAATAAACGATAGGATTGTCCGAGTGAGGCAATGCAGCGAGGCACCTGTGGAAGGCGAGCCGCGGGCGCGCGGTCCGACCGACAAGGACCGAGAACACGTCACATCGCCCCGCATACCGGGCTGAGACAGAACGGCTCAACCCACCAGGAGAGCTGCCCATATCACTGCGCCGGTACGCAGAGAAGACGACAGAGCGATACCGACGTCGGACAGCGCGTCATAGCGTTTCGGGTTGGCACCGAGATGGAAGTGTTTAATCACAATAGCACACGGAAGGTAGCGCCATACCGGCACTCTCAGAGGAAATAACGCCGCCTGCTGTCTGTGTGGAGACAGCAGAGAAGACGGCGCCGCAACATCGGCGCACAGAGAAGACGACGCCATGCCCGCACAGTGAGGAGACAGGATCGTCATGCCCGCATGGGCAGCAGACGTCACATACTGACACACATCTCAAATATCCGATTGGCAGACACACCCGACAAGCTTACACAGGCTGGTGGTCAACATCAGGACCCTCTGACCCCCAGCGAGACGCTGTGCAGAGGGCCGGCCGCTCCAGATGGCTGTGCAGAGACCGGCCCGTGTCCTGCGATGCGGTGCTGACGATGGAGCTAACCTTGCATGCATTACCTCGCAACGCCTTGCACCCGTAACCCGTGTCTTAGACCGCTCCCGTGGGTCGCGTTTCAACCCGAGTATCCGGGATGGTTAGCGCGGCCCGTACACAGTGTTAGCACGTGTGCGGGACATCTGTGGGCTGTCCAGGGAGTTTTCAGCAGCCGCTGGCAGAATCTCGGCAACCACATGGTCACCCAGTTGACATACGAGCACTCCGCTATTAGCCTCTATCGTGCAGGCATTACAAAAAACGTGTCGATAATGAACAGTATGTTCGGCTGATTAGTGGGCGCCGCTTTGCACCCGCCCACACAAGAGAGACTATTCGCCGCCAACAACTGATGCTGCAAAAGCTGTCCTCCAGTTTTAGGGTGCTCTGAAAGTGCATAGCAGCGTCGGGCGGCGTTTGGCGTACCGTACACAACACAGACACGTCGACAACCACTGCCTGCAAGTGCCGGACACGTACGGAGCTCTGTCTAGTGGAGTCTCTCACCGCTAATCTCCACTTTCTTCAGGAGCACAGCCTTGCCCGTGTGCAGATCCATGCCAATCGTCTTCCAGTGCAGCACATTGAGGCCGGCCTTGAGATCCACGTGGATCGTCTTCCAGTCGCCCTCCTGCGTCAGCGCCGGCCACGTGATGTCGTCGGCACCCACCAGCTGGCACTGGTCGTCCTGCGGCTGCACACGGCCCACGCCGTCAGGCGACGGGCTAGGTGGGAAACCCGTCATGCTCGCAGAGCTGGGAGCCGTGGCCACACACTAGCTGAACCGTCTCAACAACGATGTCATGGTCATTGTCAAGAAGACAAGCTAGTCGAACAAGGCCATAGCGATCAATCGTGGCTTCCGGTTTCCGAGGACCAATGCCCCGTCTGTGAACCATTGTCGTTTTCACAAGCGGGTGGTCTGACAGGGCCGCATTAGCGAAGCCCGCCGGTTGAAGTTCCAGTAGTGAGCCCGCCGCCTGACAATCACGTCCCAACTCCCCCACCCCCACCCCAACTCCCCTCCAGACCACGCACCAGGAACTTGAAGAGCACGTCCGGGTTGGTGTACTGGTACTCGTACTTGAGCGTGCCCGGCCGCACCAGGTGCACGGTGTAGACGAGCGCCGACGAGCACGGCCCGCCGGCCGACGACAGCACCTCGCCGCGCGGCTGCCAGCCGAAGCTGCAACACCGGGGCACGGCGGCGTCGGCGGGCGGCTGGCAGCGGCCACGGCAGATCCGTCAGCCCTGGTCACACGCCAGCCTTCGGCTCCGGCCGCGCGAGCCCCCGCGGGTGGGGTATCGACCCAGGGAGTGGCGGCGGCGCACCCGTATGTCGGGGCGCTTGTCGCGGGAAATAGGACACCCCGCCGTCAGAGGGACGGCAATCCGCGCCGTTCGGGTCCGTGTGTGCGCAGGCTGCTGGCTGATATGTGCTACTCTAGCCAGTGCGAGCACCCCAGCCAGGACGGAAATGCTCGCGTGCAACGCCATCAGTCGATGTTTTGTTGGCTCCAGATACAGTTAGGCTAAAAAAATCAAGCCAGATGGCAGTCCTGTCCTGTCCTTTCCCTGCGCAACAGCCAATGGACTGACTGTGTGGATGGGAGTTGACTTTTGGGGGACGAGTGCTTAACAATGCCCCTGAACGTTTGCGGTCGCTACAGTCAAACCTCACATCGAAGGCAAATACACATCGTATACCAGATCATCTCGAATGATAAACAACACCGCGTGCTTCTGCGCTGGCCAGGGAACAGCGGCCGTTCGATTAACTCCGTCAGACTTTCTGTAAACAACAACTTAGCAGGCAGGCACGCTGCCGCGCCTTGACGACGGTGCCGCTTCCAGGCAAGTGTTTACAGAGTACTGCCGGCGTCACATAAATCACACCATACCGTGACCTGTGACCGCTCCAATTAGCACCGCGCAGCGTCGCACATTACTACTGGTGTTTGTTTTTACACGACGGCCGAAGTGAGGGTCCCCAGAATATATGCCACGCTGTTGAGCTCACGCCAAGCATCTCGAAGGCCACGACGAACAGGGAGCGAAAGAGCACACACCTCATCTGCCGCAGCACACACTGGCAGTGCTGATGCGCTGGCCGGCGCATCGAGCCCTGCCATTGAAGCAGGACCGGACAAACCCCAGCAGGGTCTCCCCACAGGTCACAACACACGCACCCAAACACGCACACACGCACACACCGGCTGGTGACAGACCGGAGCGACACGGCGGCACTAAACCCAGCCATGTCCACAGGCCGCGACACTTTCTCAGACCCGGGCGCTTCCACAGACACGACAGGCAGACGGCGCGCGACGGCAGCGCTGGCTCCGACTCTCTCAACAGACCCCCTGACGAGCCGCACACGGTCGGTGACAAGGTCCGATGGTGGCGCCTGGCACCGACTCGATCCCCTACCTCCCGCGCAGCACAACGCTTCACACAACATCGGACAGCGGCTCTGGCACTGACTCGTCGCAGTTGACCTCGGCGCCCAGCCGCTTCACGTTGAGGAAGGAGGTCTTGAAGGGCTCGGTGACCACCTGGAAGCCAGGCGGCACCGAACTCCAATCGTCGAACACCTGCCCTCCACCCAGCGAGTACGAGCCAGCCGGACACTTGTCGCAGCTGAGCGTCGCCAGGTTGAAGAAGCGTCCAGACTTGCAGGACGGCGCTGTGGGCGGCGGAAACGCGTTACACAGGTGGAGTGGCGGAGGCACGCAGGCAGCGAACCGGTGCTGACGGTCTCAGGATGTTCAGACTCTCGTCTTCGGTCGCCCTTGATTCGTAGACGGAGTCCGTCAGATGTTGTAACTGGTGTAAGAGTGTGCGATTAAGGTCGAAGCGATTTGACGTGTTGGAAGATCCATTGCTTTCTTTGAAGAAGCCTGTGATCGCTTCTTTCTCACTGTGTAGTCACTGGCGCGACTGTCCTGTATTGGGTGACACTTCTTGTGGAAAATTTCATCCACAGAAGCTCACGGTAATCAGAAATGCCTAATCGGCGCATAACATATTACATATATGCATGGCCCACGTGCGGCGGCCGGAATTAGCCGGTTATAAGATTGTGTAGTACGCTGCTACCCCGAGAGTATTTACTATGTTCTGAGTCCCGTGAAAATCCCAGCCATAAACAAGCGGCTCGGAGAACTGGCTTTAGTGGCCAGATGCCCGGTTGATGTGGTACAGATCGTCATGATTCGGCGCCAGGCCACTGTGCACTTCAGGTCCGGGTGCGCAGTGACAAGCGGCGGATGGGCGGGGCCTCGGCGGCCTTGGTCGTTGGTTACACGACTTTTTGGAGCACGATGTTTTCTCCGAACGTGCCCCGACATTTACCGAAATGGCTTATCAGGCAACTTATCAAAACGGAAGGTAACACGTGCGTCAGTTGAGCCTTCCCCGTCCGTGTGTACACGCCTGAGGCTTTGTTCGATAGGGACCTGGACAGGGGTGGCAAGCTGTTCATTACCCAAGTATCAACAGCAAACCAGCGAGTTTGTTTTAAGCATTGAACTTCCCAGTAGACTCTTAGCCGGAACACGCAAAAGCGTTCCACTTCACTCGAATATAATGCTGAAATTCGCGGAGCAAGGCTGGTCTAAAACGAGTAGTTTTCTTTTCATACCACACGATGCAAGCATAAACCACGAAGAGACAATTTTGCGCAGTACATATGCGTCTCCGCCGAGCAACAGACAGAAATGCACGTGTTGCTGGTTGTCTCTGGGGCGCGGCTGCGGCTGCGAGCCGGCGCGTCCTCCTCTGTACCGGCCTGCAGGTGACCGGCTGGCGCGAGCCACGTGCCCGGCGGCGGCGGCCGGTCGGGCGGCGCAGCGGACCGGTGCATCGATCGACCGCACCAGCCCGCATTAGCGACAGCGTGGCGCCGCCGCCGCCAGCCGGTGCCGCCACACACACACAGGGGCGTCGGTCCGCCAGCGGCCGGCCGGCCGGCCGGCTGGCATGCGCCGCCCGGGACGGGACCGTCACAAGCCCAGCTCACTGTGCGCCGCTAGCCTGTACTGGTGACGTGTCAGGCTACCGTGCTCGTCGCACATGTAGAAGGACGGCCGCTGAGGAGAACTCGCCTGGTTGCATGGCATGCGTTGTGAACTGTGCCTCTGTTTGTTTGCTGTATGATCGTCAACAGGTACAGCAGTCTGTTCGTTGCACGCGCTCTATGGAACGCCCAAGTCCTATCAAAAGTTAGCCGTGCTCAACGAACATGGCCGAATGAGGATGTGTCAAAACACAAAAAGCGTACGTGCGGCCGGTGGCCCGAATAGAGGCGCATGAACACGGCAGCAGGCGCCGAAGAACATATGGCTTACAAATAGTCCATCGGTGCGACGAAACCGCGTGCGGTGAATCTGTAGGTAGAAGGGGCAGGTACTTGCCGAACGAATCAATGTTTTGGCAGGAGTGAAGGAAGCTATTGTATATGGCCAGAATCCGGTGGAAAGGGACTATGAGATCGTGTTGGCTGGGACGAAAGGAACGCCCGGGGATAAGAGTTCCTTTTCCTTGCCGTTGGTATGCGTATATGGAAGGAACAGGACTTAGCTGAGCTCCCCGGTTGTCCAAGAAATACATGAACTTGATAACTTGTTGAAGGCATGATTTTGGGGGAGGTTTGGAAGCTTTCTAGGAAGTGAGAGCAGTTGAGATATCTGCGTGGTGGGTCCAGGGAGCAGGTCCCCCAGATCAGGAACGCGTGCTGGGTTCCGTCTCGGGCCGCTCGATGAGTCCGGGCTGCACATGCCAGATTAAGTCCCCCATATTCAATCCTTCAGCGAACACGCACGCTGAACACACTGTGCGTAGTTTTATAATCGGGGCGTGGGTGCCATGGGCAGTGAGGCATCTGCATGCTGCAGATGAGGGGGCCAGTGGGCCATCTTGGTTTGGTAACCGCCGCGTCTACACGGCTGGCGAAAACGAGACTTGAGTCCAGTACAGCTCCTGAGCCGCGGACCTTGGCATGGCGTTCAAGAATGGTACCGTCCGACTTGCCCAACGCTGTGATCAGGGATACCTGGGAGAGTTACGGGAAAGAGAGAGAGGAAAATCACGATGCGTTTTGAAGGGTTCTGCTTAAAATCCCACGCGCGTGGCCAGTCAGAGAGATTCTTTATGTCTTGTTACCGGGCGCGTGAATCCTCTGGGCAGCTAATTTGATGAAAGAGTCCTGCATCGTCAACGTGCTTGGCACACTTAAGCCCACGTGTAGCGGAATGTCGGCGATGAAATAGACGAAGAGTAATGGGCCATGTGCCCTGTCTTCAGGCACACCTGGGGGATTCGAGTCAGGAATGACTGCTTACCATCCAGAACACGCTCTCGGGCTGCGGTCTCTGAGGTGCGATTCATTCCATGAAAAGACCCTCCAGGTCAAATGAAAAGTGCGTTCAAACTTTTGCGAGAGCAGTTTCTGATTAACACCGGTAAGAGTTGATGAACAGTCAGCGTACGCGTCAGTTAACAAGCCTTTGGCTGTTGAGTGTCATTCGTGCTGCCAGAGATCGGTCTTTGTTCTGGCGCACGACTTTCTGGGCAATAAGTCGTGCTGGTTCGCGAGCATAACAAGCCAACAGTGCTAGGGAGAGCAGCAATCAACTACCTTCTCAACTTTTCTCGAACACAGCGGCAGTAAAGAGTCGTGCACGTAATTTTTCGGCGACCTTTTATCTCCTCTCTTGCAAACGGGTATTGCATTGGCCCTCTTTCATCGGCCGGCGCGGTCATGTCGGCGCAGTCAGAGATATCTATATAGTCAGAGATATGTTGACATCTGTCGGCGCAGTCATGTGCACAGGGCAGATGATGCTGCCAAACAACGCCCGGTCAGTATGTAAGGCAGTGTGACCGGTGCCGACTTCTGACACACGCGTCGTCACCTATTTCCCGACCGGCACATGCGACAGCGAAACAGCAAATCCTGGTGGATTGGTAGTAGCATTTGAAGTAAATCCCAGGTGACATCGCTGTCATCATCCGTTCACATGCAAAGCTTTCATAAGGGACGATCGTCGGCAAACCTGGCCAGATCGCCGGAGCCGGCCGGCAGCGCGCATGCCGGCGGGACCAGATCGCTACCGTACGTACTGCAGTCGTCCACCCGCGTGGGCGGCGGCGGCGGCTCGCTGACGCAGGCCGGAGCTGCCGGCACCGACACCCGCCACCGGCCACCCGTCTCATCGCACTCGGTGAACTTGTAGTGGAAGTCCGTCTGAAACAGCGGCGCGGCGGCGGCCGTGATGCGCACCTGCACTGGCGACGGTCGGCATGCGGAGGACGGGCGTGTTACAAGCGCTGGGTCATACACGCGTGTGCGTGCCGTCGGCATAGCCAGGGCTGCAGCATCAAGTTACGGCGACATGATTGATATCTCGTCATGTGCTTCAATGACATGATGTGGTCCATCAGCTGATGTGTGATGAGATTAAGAGACATACAGCAACGCAGTGATCAGCAGGCGAGAACTTTAATGTTACTATACACAATGGTATAAAGCGCACAAGTGGCCAGTGCCCCAAATACAGAATACGCAACCACTTCGATTAGATTTCAAGCATGGAATGCTGGTTTGTATGAAACAGCATTCATCACAGCAAGGGTTCGTGTAAGTTCAAGGGGCGACTACAGTCTGCAGCTACCCAATTAACTCCAACAGCCCAACCATTCACCACTGGCGTGGCGGTGGTTTTAGCGCTGTTGAATGCCCAGAGTTTACAGCACACGCTTCAGCCTGGGTCACCGCAATTTACGCCGGATTAGAGTGTCTGAAAGATTATCGAATTATCGAAACCAATTCACAAGTCATGATTATCACATTCAAAGACATAATTATTGAAGCCATTCACCAAAAGACCTCAAAATATTTACGACGTAACACCTTACCCACAAAGTCTACCGAGCGAACACTTTGACTGCAGGTGGATGATGCGTGAAAGTCATGCTGGAAACATATCTTTTTCGATCATAAACAGCAGGGAATCCCATGGGAGAATTAGGCGCAAATGCCAGCTTAAAGGTTGAGCCTGCTCGTGTGAGGATTTCTTCACACAGCGTGTAATGAGTGCGAGCGGTACACTCTCTACTGATAGTTACGCAAGTGTTCCGTTCAATACTGATCTGAAACACAGGCACCCATTCTTTAGCACGAGCAGACGCCTGCACAGGCGGCACCACCTCCAGACGGGCCGGGGAGGCGCCTGGCTCCCAATACCTTAAGAACGAGGGCGCCAGGCCACCGGTAGCTCTTCAGACCAATGGAGACTGCTGGTATGTTCTGAGAGTAATTACGACGAACAGAACGCGGGCTTTTTGGTGAAACGCAAGTGACTTGCTGCACTGTGCAAAGTTAAGCAGGCACAAGCTCGAAGGACCTCATGCAAATGCGTTCTTGCATCGCGCCAAATGCAGTCAGTTATGTGCATACATACATGGCTTGATAAACCTAGAAGTGGGACATACTCCGGTTCTTTGGCATCACAAAAACTAGGGGTCCTTTCATCACGCTAGCAAGGGCGGCAACGTTGAATTTCTAAAAATGGCAGCGGGGCAAGTATTTATTGAGACAGATTGGTCACGCAAGCACCAAGTTTGAAATCTCGTTTGCCATGCGTCTCCCTCCTCGCGCTTGTTTTTTATGTGTCAATGACAGTGCCTGTCACTGCGACACAATTCTTAAAACACATGTTGGCATCCAAGAAACCCATTATGGCTACTTTGAGGAACACGTACGGTAGTACATTATATGCTCCTTGCGACATTTTTGCGAAGATGTGACTCAGCGGTAAGCAGTATCGCTGAATTACGCATTAAACCATGAGTGCCCGAGACTTTACGCTGGGTCACAGCCACCATAGAGGACTACGGCATGCAATGCGTGGGCTTCCTTCATGAGAAAGGACTGCTCAGTTGTATTTTATAATGCTTCGCGTTTTTAGTGGGGTGGGTCCATACTCGCTTTTCTCATGTTGCCTTTATCACCTGTGTGGATCTCCACACGCGGCTGGACTATCAGCGTCTGCTCTCTAAAGCTGTAGGACAAAATCAGTAATTCAGTTTGTCTGTAGGACAGTTTGCGGACTGACAGTTTGTCTGAAAAGAGGTAACGGTAATTTTGGTCTGTGGAAGAATGAGCTACTGATCTCCTCGGCTGAAAGCCACAGGTTTTTCTTAGGAACGTTGATGATATTTTCGGAATTTGGTTACATGGGAGAACAGAACTGAAGGGAGTTTTAAGCGAAAGCAAACACAATCTATCTCAGAATTCGGGTAGACCTTAGCATATTTCCGCTGTCCAGAGACTTTTCCGATATCAAGGTTCGGCTGGGAACCGACCTCTTTGTGAAACCCACGAATTCAAAAACCTATCCGCATTTCGATGCAGACCATCCCCAGCACACAAAAAGAGAAAGCTCGTTTGGATTATGGGTGCGCATGAGGAGATTTTGTTCTCGGGAGGACCACATGTGGAATAGGAGTGAGCTACATGCCAAGTTAATAGTCAGGGAGTATCCGGGTAATATAGCAGACAGGAAGCTGAGGAGCGGCCTCGCAGGGCAATAGGAAAGGATCCAGTCCGAAAAGTAGGTCGGCAGGTCAGGGTCAAAAGGGCAGGTTGATAGGGTCTCGCTTGTTTTAAATTACTCTGGGCACTTGCCCGACGTAAGGGACGTCCTTCAGACAAAACGTCAAGTGCTGAAAAATTCGGAAACAATAAAGCATTCTTATCCAAAGGTCCTCTGGTGGCCTTCCGCTGTGGCACTAACGTTAGAAATATTCTAGTCTACAGAAAAATCAGGCGACCAATCTACGGGTGCTGATGGGGTCCAGAGGACTGTGGCAAGAAGTGCGTACTATACAGGCGCATATACGTGGGAAATGACAACGTACTGTGGGTGATTTGAATGAATGTTTTTAGAATAGCAGCATTGCCTGCAGGTCATTCCACATAATTTATGCATATGGTGTGAAAATTGCCGGCCGGTGATCTCTGTCGGGAAGACGGGAAATGAGAAGGGGGCGGTACCTACGCGCACGTGCAAAATCACCTTCTGTCGATCCGATTGGTAAATCGCACTGTCGACCGGCCCGTGCGGGAACAGTTCCCCACATCCGGCTAGTCCAGAGACGACCTGAAAGGGATTCGATTCCAGCGGGATTGGAAGGAGAGCGAAGCTTACAGGAGGATGAGGGAGATGTGTTGGATGAAGCTGCTGGGTAGTATGGACTCGTCTAGTGAACTGAATATGCGCTCAGGTAAATTTCGAGGATACCTGGATTGCAGTGTTGTATACCACCTATCCTCTTAATTCACCCTTTTTCGTTGTCCGGCAATGCGAGCTATGATGGATAGCTCGTTACATTCTTATATCACTATATCACATAATTATACAGATATGTATATATACGCATATATATGTATACATATATTCAAGCATTTCAGGAGCAGACTTTCTCTTATGCATTGTTGGTTGTATACCACAGCAAACGCCACGTTTACGACCATTTTGGTCCTTTGTTAAAGGGTTCGTGTGGTGTGTTTGTCGTTTTCGGCGTGTCAATACAGAATGTTACTCAAGTCCATATATTTTTTTTAACCTTTCGATAAGATCCATTGTCATTTCGAACACAATCACCGCACTTTAAATATGCAGTCACAAGCACAGTATATGTACCAAAGTTCGGTTTCATCGAATCCCTCCGAGATACATGTTCGAGGCACATGCAAAATAGCATTCGCATGCTGCATGCTCTAATTCCAGACGCACTTCTGTATGGTTGGAAGCTTCACATCTCACCAAATCAAGGTAAAAAGTCACTGGTCCGGCAGATTTGCATTAAGGGGGACGAAAGCTGTCCTACCAGCCGCATGTCGTAGAGTAGTAGTTCACAGTTTCCGGCAGTACCTTGGAAACAGTTAACAACATTGGCCTGTTTCAACTTATCTCCGGTTTGGCTCAGGTTATTCTTCATCACTAGGGGAGATGTATTTGCGCTTTTGTAGCATGCGACAAATCTAAAATTTTCGTTGATCAGTGGGGTGCAGTTATGGAGTGCAATGTTACGCGGTACATTCTTATCGGTTTTCCCAAATGTGGGTCGCAGTCTTTATTACTATTCATACCACATAGTTTACCATCTATATTGTTTATGCATCCCTTGTGTCACATTCCTCAATAACAATTTAGGAAATTTTCGTATCCATTCAAGATGCTCAAGACATGCAGCATGAGATTTGAATATGTCCATGTCTACGAGACACAAATGTTCTACATATTCCAGGGAGCTGGCCGCGTGTTGTACTTCAAGAAAGAGGATCGCGTCAAAATTCTACAGGCATCAATAGTTTTACCGCTTTCTGCTACCACCACCAGCATTTCAATATTTACGTCATGACATGCCACTCAACAGGCATTGCAAGGAAGACAATGTGTACAAGTTACTGCTTTTACATTTGACTATTCTCTAAGGGGATTGATTCCTCCCGGTGTCCGCCCTTTTTGCCGGGATGAGAGGCAGGCGTCACTATATAGTCTCAGAAGCGTCGTAAAGCCGCAGTAACACACACATATTCGGTGGGGTTAGCAGCCTACAAAATAAACTTTTCGGTTTTGTTCTACGCAAGTTATTGTGCATTGTGTTAAATCAGCTTTTTCTTTATTACCAAGTCGTGAGTCGCTACACAATCTTAAATTATCTTTTCTTTAAAGATTTGATACGTTTTCGCGAGCCCCGTTCCACCCAGTGAACACTCAGCCAAATATAAGGGCCCAGCCTAAGATTAGGGAGCCTAGTCAAACATTGCAGGAGCTCAGCTAAACATAGGGGGGGGGGGAGGGCATGGCCCCTACGAAGTTCTACCTCTGCATACAAATAAGCATTTGGAGCCATCTCCTTGGAGCCTGCTCCGTGATGTCAGCTGTCTAAGTCAGTCAACATCATTTAAATTTACACAGCCTGAGTTTGACGCAGAGCTGATTCCAACTTTAAAATCAGAGCCAGCCTAAGCCATTAACGTGAGTCAACAAATTAGTTGGCCCACCTTATTGGTGTAGTGTCGATCCTAGCGTGTGCAAGTAAGCTGGAGTCATAGTCGGCACACATTTTGCGTACTGTGAGTCACGAATGTTCGACCAAAATTGCAGAATTGATCAAAATTTGTAGCCGATCGTCCGTAGAATGTGTAATTTTCCACCGAACATCTTGAATCTGGGCACACTGGCGGTGAGTCAGTCAGTGATGTGCAGCTGGAGTCGGGCGAAAGGCGCGAGGTTGAAGTTTTTCAACAAATCCCACTCAATTTGGTAGGATGTTGCAGATGTTGGCAGCGTCACGAGTGTCAATCTGCATTCTTTTGTGGGGGCCCTGGCCTACCCAATGTTGAGTTGCCCCTCCCCCATGTCAGCTTGCCCCCTCCCTCAATGCTTTTGGCTGGAATACCACAAAAGCCTGGGTAAAAGATGATCATAACACAACGACTGTCTTCCTTGATCTTTCTGCGCGGTGGCGTCTCGTACCACTCCGATAACAAAGTCATGGCTGCTCTCACCAGCAGACGCAAATCGTAATAGCTGAGCGGAGAAACGATACAAGAAACTTCACATACCTAGCGCCATAAGACACGCAATGACTTGTGAGGTTTAAGTGAAAAGCTCCGGAAGGAATATGAAAATGCTAAGTCCTTCACGGCTAACCCCGACCTCGTCCCCGTCCCCGCAACCAAAATGCCTGCCGCCTCTCATGACCGCCAGAGAAGAGCATCATCGGCGCCCTAAGGTGGCCTCTAAAGGGGCGCCTTCACGTGCCGATCAGAAGAGGCGCGTGCGTCGAGTGCCTGCTCCCTGGATCCAACACTGCACGACTTCTATGCTGCTTAAATTTAAATATTTTATAAAACATACAAAGATTAAGAACATGCGTTGCGGTTAATCCAGACAAAGAAGGCTCAATCCGGTGAGAAAAGCATTTTGGGGGTAGGCTGACGGGCCTTCCGCTCGGCCACCCAAATAATTTACAAAAATTAATACCCCTGGGCAGTGTCAATGCCAGTGTTATCTAACCTGCCATGGTTTACTTGCACCAGACAAGGAGCGAACCAGCTAGCATGTGCCCGATACTAAGCTATCACGAATGACTTGAAAATCAGCCTGTGAAGAAACCAGACCGACAAATCACAGAGAACAAAGACAAATACCGTATAATCCCGCTGATTGAGGAGAACAAAATTCGGAAAGGCATCAAGAGCTTTTAAGTCAGCTTCAAATGCACAGAAGACACAGATCAGAACTGTGGGAGAACTTTTGCGTTTTACACCAGCACATACACACAAACTGTTCCAGCCGAGCATTATTTAAGGTTCTGAAAAACTGACGCATCCGCTGTTCCCCGCCGACGAGTCTAATCTCCCTATTGGGCGTGGACCTTGGCCTTAAAATATTGTGTGTAGTACGGACCTGACCAGGGCCAGTATGTCAGGCTAGGAGGTATTGGTAAATACTGCACCATCAACCGTGCCTTTACCTTGTCCATGTAGGTACCCATCAGTCATCCAAACATTTAACACGGGCTTACCTGATTGTTACATATGGAAGGATCCGACGATGCTCGAACAAGCGCTATTCGTATTAGGCACGCAGCTAATACGAAGTTCTGCATATTTTCGGAAGCTTGAGAACGAAGCGCGGCCGCCGATATGTTTACGTGGCCATTTCAAGTCTCACATAACACAGACAGCTAGCACCGGTGACAGCACTTCTTCGCGAACACTCCGACGTACGGCACCATACACGTTTTCCATTTGAGTCCATGCAAAAGCACGTCTGCGGGAACTGTTGATTAAAAACACCTCCTTCGCTGCTCGCATGACACCCAAGCAACCACCACACTTCCGCTCCCCTCTTCAGCTATGTAGGACCAGCTGCCTCCAAATGAACGACACCCGCAGCGCCAGCGATTCCAGCGGGCATCGATCGACGCTTGGGACTCGGCGCGCCGTGCGATGCGTCGTCACGTGACCAGATAGCCGTTGTCATGGCAACCAGGGGTACGGCAATAACATTGTACGCGTAGTTGTGTGGGTATTGGTGGTAAAGAAAATGAAGGTCACTTTTTGCAGGATTGTATTTGATCATGCAAATGTGCAAGAAATATATAATGAAATAAAGATTTGTAACTAGAAACCTAAACATAGATGAAGTAAGCAATTTGCATGCCTCGCGGTCCGCAGTCTCACACGGGTGACGTAAAACTGTGAACGAAGTTGGATGCAGGTGTATGTATACTGTGCATGCTACCATGTGATAGTCAATAACGCTGAAGTCACTTACCAGGATGGATTTTCGCAAATTGGAAGCAACCACGAATATGACCATAACTTTGCGCCAGACTAGTGACACAAACTGTATGTCCGTGCTAAATGTATTAAAAGCGAAACTAGGACCGATCCTAGTCAAGCATTATCAGTGCGTGCCGACAGCAATGGAACTACGATGGTCCATCGTGCCTCTAATGCGGAAAAAAATTTGTAAGATATTGGACTTGTTTACGATACACTTACTACTGTTAAACCGTTCAAGTCCATCCATTTATCTTATGGCGAACTGGACAGAATCTTGAGGAAGTAATAGCTAGGGTCTGGACAAACCATTACGACTTTTCGCTCATGGTGAGGATGTCTTATAGTTCTGATGATAGAGGTTGTCCCGTGTGCTGATAAATTATTTTAATGTATACCAAATGAGAGCAATTGAATACTTTCGGTTGGCTTGTCAGGAGTGTGTGATGCTACGCACTGCTGCGCGTTTTCATAGCTTCGAAAATAAAGCAAATCATTGAACTAATGATGAATGTGTGTTTTGTAAGCGTAATTCCGATGATGCAGACTTATATTGACTTTGGTCGGCATGGTCACCTCATAGGAATTGGGCTTGTGGAATATTATGCATTAGTTGAACACATAGAACATTGCAGTACCCTTATTGACTCAGCTGGTATATTGTGTCGGGAGTATTATCTGTGTGCTCTAACGTTTTTGAGACGCGTTGGTATTGGGTCGTGTTTTGATAGCGACCAATTTCGTAAAGATACGTGCGTGTTAATATTCCAACAAAAGTGGTCCAGAAACAAATGCATTTGAACCAATGAAATCCAGCGAAGAGCTCCACTGCATCCCAATAAACACGCGCAGACACGCGACATACCTTGCATTATTTCTTACGCAATGTATTGAGCAAAAAAGTGTGGATGCACTGGAGACACGACGGTGCATGGGTCCTGCTGGAGTACAGGGCAGTATGCAATGCATGTTGCAGAGTGCATAGCGGTGTCGCCATTGTGGCAACGTTCGTTACAGTGCGTAGTGTTCCAACGTTACAACGTGTCCATAGCGCTACAAACCAAGGTAAAAACACAGAAGTACAATGGTTCGACTGTCCGAGGTTTGTTACAGTTAAGGACTTTTTTTAATAACTTCCCTCTCCCTGCACAAAAAAACTTTAGATATCCCGTTTTGTATACCTCACTTCTTTTCAGGAGACAAGTTTCCTTGCAGGTCTTAGAGGTTTGAACCTGAAAAACAACTTCAATAATGCGTAGATATAACACAAAGTTAATGTACTTAGGGATTGCGGTCCTGAATTCTGGTCCATTAAACCTCTACATTCGAAGCGACTTGGCGTCTGTGCGGTGAAAAAATGGGACCATTGACGGACTGTCCATTGGTCCAGCAAGCCTGCAGGGCACACTCAAAAGCAGCTGATCAGGGAGTGTGAAATTGGTACAGAGCGACTGCCACAACGATGTGCGACACGAAAAACACCCCTCTGGGATCCCGCCTGCGAAGTAAGTTATATTTAGGAGCTCCTCAGTCAGCCTATCTGGAATGTCATTTGCAGGGTGGTATAATCAGGGCATGAACTCAATTTAGCATGCAAGCCTGCTTATAAGCTCATAGTTTTTTTCCGCTGGTTTACCTACCTTCAGTATACTGGAAGGCTTTGGTTGAATAACACTATAGAGTAAACATTGGTCACCGATATATAAGAATTCGAACGTTTCCTTTTCCTTTACAATTTGTATGAACTCTGGGCTCATTATGTCCAAAAACCAGAAGCTGAAGATCTGTTTTGCTTATGTCAAGAAAGTTTGCCCTGCATAGCTAAAAAGGTGCATTCCTTTATGAAGCCCTGCTGGTTTTCGAAGGCATTTGAACAAGTAAGATCACTAGGCACCGCAAACACGTATAAGTTTGATGTGATGACTGGGGTTGATCAGAGCTTAGGCATTTCTTAGCCATATGACAGAATCTACCAGTATCGTAAAAACAGGCCACGTGAGTTTTCCGCGCACCATTTAATCATGCGCACGTGATCGGCGATGCAAACGACCGGTGGCAACTGTGGCATGCCTCATGCTTTAGAGCAAGAGGTGAGACGAAACGGTGCGTGTAGCCGGCCAGGAAAAGCACGTCACAATATTTACGGACATAGTTTTGTTAAATTTGTTCATATATTTAGGATGTATTTGGGCAGACAGGGTGGGCAAAGGAATGCACGTGCAGGCTCTTTTGCAGCGTCTACAGAGCTTGTCATGCATGTGCAGGCTAAAGCAAGCGTAGGACAGAGATTGCTACCATTTACTCCTACGGGTAAGCTTGACTCTATCCAATTCTGGTGTCAACCCATAACGCTCGGTGACAAATTTAGACCGATTTATGTTGCACCTTTCCAGGCCTAGTATTTGTTGGTCCATTTAAAAGTGACATCGGCCGAAGAGGATTAAACCGCAATGTTACGCTGTTGTCTTTTTCAGAGAGATGGCTAAACTGCCTGCCCGCTGCATTACTGCCATCGTTAAAACTGAATCAGAAAGGGGAAAATGGGTACTGTGCTGTGTTTCGAATAGACGCTTTCTCTGGTAAGAGATAATCTACCCAATTACTTTGCTACCCATGGGCTTGCACCCACACCCACCAGCTATCTATTCTCTATTAGATTGCACCCTCCCATTCCCACCCGTTTCCCTCTTCCCAGCAAACTAGTTCTAGATCAAGGAAAAATCAGGAAAGCCTACGCTAAAACGTTCTTTTTGACGTCAATAATTACGAACACAATGTCAACTAAGTTAACAATAACTAAGAAGGAATGGAATCATCCACACTGCGTGACATTTCTTAATGTATCTACCCAATATTTCGAAAACGTCTTAGCCATACCCGTAGTTTTGGTTTGAAATTCGTGCCAAACCCAACCAATTACCCTTTCTATTTGAATATGTATGGGTTTATCAAACCAGCAAAGTCTTTTAGTTTTGATATGACAATCTTTTTAGTAGCATCAAGGGCAAGACAGATGACACCGTGGTAACAAAAGAAAATAGGCTGATTGGTTCAAACGAATAACAATGCTCTTCCACATGCTCCTCCATCTCCACTCCTCCATTTACAATGTTCCTCCACATGAAGCCAGGAATGTTGCCATGACATATGTTGCTGGCGCTATGCTTACATCGGGAGCATCAATATTTGCCTAGCCTGCTTTTCTTCATTTCTGGCCTTCTGCTGAATATATAGTGACTGGAGGCAGAACAATTCGTGCAATACCAAAAAAAAGCAAAGTGTAATGACGAGCACACCCGACTTGTTGACGCATGGTGCTCACTAAAGCGGCTTACGAGGGCTAGGATGCCCCTGCGAATGTTATGCGTGTTTGGGTGTGGGGTGTAAGCCAAGTGTTGTGGGGTGTTGCATGCTGGAAAGGTAAAAATGCAGGACAAATGTCTTTCCCAGTGTGTGAATGGCCCCCTTCAGCCATTAACACTTTCACTGGTTATAACAAGAATTTGTAAGCTTCCCTCTAGTGTAAACGGTCCACCTTCATTAAGGGTAAGGAAGTTAATGACTTGAATGTCATTAAGTGAGCTCTCTTAGTGAGTTCTCATTTGGGAGTCTCTTTGGTTGATCTTACTTGATCCGCCTTCCAGTTGTTTAATGTAGCTGCTTGTGGCTTTCCTCGCCACTACCACTGCCCGTCGTCATTACAACTATCTGCATCACGTATGGCACGATGTGATGAGGCTCTGAAAGGCATCATCAAAAATATATATTCATGCGCAATTAAGGGTCGTCCATGAAATACGTTGCGCTTGGGGGAGAGCTGATGGATCATAACCGAAACTTGACGAGAGAATCGGGCGACGTAATGCTTCCTCGGGTGTTCGTGCAAATTATGTTTAAAAATTAGTTGAAAACTTTAAGCCAGACGCCGTTGAGTTTCTCTCGTGACAAGCAATGCACCCGCCTTTTCACACGTCTGGCCGCATCAGTGGCCAAGCGGGGTTTATTTTTTAATGTTACGCTTAACCAGTGCACACAGTGGGAGAGGGAGTTTTCGCCCAAGGTAACCAGCGTGTAACCGTGGCATGTAGGTCGATAACTGTCAAAAATGTGTGATGTGTTATAGGCGGCCCTTTAGCCCACTGAGGAATAGAAAGCATGCTTGTACGGTTAGCGCAATTATGAAACATTGGGTTGGTTAGCTACGATAGTAACGGTGTTCTCAGAAAAACTGGCGCCGACCGTTATAACCCGTCGGCCACGACAAGGTCCACCGCAGATGAGTTGTAGGTGGCAGCACTGCAGGCTGGCCTCAGAAGCCTACCTCCATGGGCCGAGAGGGCAGCACCAGCGGTAAATCTGCTGTTGCAGGTGTCAGCATGGGTCGCGCGGCTGCGAAGGACTGGCTGACTGACTGCCTGGGGCTCAAGTTGGCAGGGCCAGGGACCAGAAGCTGGCCAGTGGTCGGTGCGATAAGTATGGTCGCGTAGTCATGAACTCAAATACTATGGAGCCCTGGGAACGAGTCAGCGTGATAATGTAGCGTTCGTTTTGTGAGTTATCCATCTGTTAAAAACATGTTGGAGACGCACCAGAGCACTGACATCGCCGCATTTTTCCATC